CGCGCCCTCAATGGCGCTGGTGCATCCAAGCTATTGCCTTCAATGCATAGCTCCTTTTCCAACCCCCCCCCCACTTGACAGCCCACTGTACCTATCCCCTCCCCAAAACATCGGTGAACGAAACTGCGGCAGCTACAACCACTGTACGACGAGTACGCGGTTATTACAGCTGACAGTGATGATGATGATGAGCGTACTTATCATGCTCTGCGGGTCCAAGTTTGAGGAGCAGGAGGCGAACCTTGCAACTGTCATTTTAAATTGAAAAATCGACCCTGAACAGGTCTTCATAGCGAGGAAACCAAGCGTCCAACGTTATGCCAGCTGAGGGTTCATAGCAAAATTCGTTGATACTGCCAGCAATTCCATCAACCGACTGTGGGACGCTCGACACAGCCGGTGAAGCCAAAGATGTAGTTGATAGTCGCTCCGTAAGTACTGTGAGTTGCAGTTGTTGCTCAAACATTACTTTGAGTTGTTCTGCCTCCATCTTGCGTCGCCAAATATGTTACGGTTCGATCACGCTGCGAGCAAAACAATATGATGTGCGGATCGTGGCAATACTCTATCCCCAGCTATGTTGCTTGATCCAGACTTCTAGCACGGCGGATAGGAAGAAGACGAAAAACCTCGGTCACAAACTTTAATGATCCAACAACACGCGATCAACAGGCGATCATGGGAAAAAATGACAATGCATATATATATTCATAGTTTGACCTTGAATATACCGGAAGTTCGCTAGCACATAAAAATACAGAGTTTTTGGGGGGGATATCGATATCCCCGACATGTATAAAGCTCCGTCGACAATCACTAGCCAATTCCAAATTATGTAGTTAATCAGTATTAATATTTGTGCTTTTAGCCTCTTTTTTCTTGCGATTCCCTCGATACCCTCCCTGTTCAGCCATTCAATATACTCGTATTTACTGGGCGTTTGCACACATGTTCTAACTTACTTTGCCCACATTGTGTCTTAGACCTTTGAGCATATTCGCTCTACTGGTGGTTGATCGGATGGCAGTTGATCTGTTCGCCGGGCTTGGCGAACAGTCGATGTCTCCTCGACTGGGGGCGAAACGTTTGCAAGCCAATTGCCAAGCTCGGCGAACAGATCGACCCATCCAATCAACTACCAGTAAACACACCCGAGCTACCTATATTTCGACAAAGTATTCGCTCTATGTTTCATTAATTGCTGTGTGCTTTTGTGGGTATGTGCCAAGGGTAGCCAGTTTCCCACCCGTCTTATCCAATCATGTGCTGCCATGTTTACTACTCACTAAGAGGTCAGCCAATCTGCTGATGCTCTCTTGCAGGCTGTTTTGTTGGCCGTCCAGAGGCTTACTTAAGTGGGTTGAATTCCGTTCTCGCTTGACTGGTGTGCTTCCGCAGAAGTGACTCTGGGTTTGTTTTAGTTTATGACGACAGCGTGTGTTTATAAATCGTGCTCCTATTCTGTTTGGTCCCACGACGACTGTTCATTACCTTTACTCGTATTGTGTTTCTCAGTGGTACCATAGAATATGAAAATTCGGTTCAGTTAAGTTCAGTTCATCACCTATAAACCATGTACCATGGACGCATTGGTTTCAGCTTCTATCGTTTTGATCACCCAAAGGTGAGGGCGTGGATGATGCATCCAACCACTGTAGACGATGGTATGATCAAGTAGTTCGGTAATTTGGCAGCTACGCATTGGAATCGACCGCTTTGATGCACGAGTACCACTGATTGCACGATTGTACCATGTAAAAATCTTTCAACCGTAACAACCTTTTCGGTGCCTAGCTGCTACTTCACCCGAACGAAGCCTAGATACTGCCATGTTGCCCAAGCCTGGACAGGAGCAGCCGAGATGCAGATGTTCCGTTCACACCACTGTCAATGAATTCGCGCTGAGCCATCTCGGCCAGACCATGTCTGCCAGTGTCATTAATAGTTGGTGAGTTGAGTCTCTCCGCTCTCTCATCCAAGGCGGCAGCTGCCGGCCCGAATTTAATGGCTGGTTATTGTTTTCATACTTCGCTGCCAGTTGCTAGTGTGGGATGGCGTCGGAGTATCCGTAACGAGGCAATTAGAAAGTGGGTTTTCAGTTGTGCAGCGGGTACTTCCACTGAAGAACTTGTGCACCACCAGAATCTGCGTTGGGGGGTATGTGTTGGTATCGTTACCCGAAGTGTTGTTTTCCATGTCCAATTCAGAGTGGCGGAAGCAGAGATGGCCAACCCCTGACCGGGATTTGAAGGATTACGCAACGCTTGGGTGCTGTCGGTGCTAGTCGCCTTCCAGGATGGAGACCGCGTGATCCCCACTGTGCCTGGTTGGGGACACTGCAAGAGGTGGCTGCCAACCGACCTCAGTGGTGATCTCATGTCAGTTTCTATCCAATTGATTGAATGAATGTCTGGAGGTGTAGACACCTCGGAATGATTGTAGTAATCTAGCGCTAAATCGTAGGTCCACATTTATTCTTTTCTTCACAGTGAGCCTCCCAAATAAATCCTGGTTTTACGGCATCGGAGCATCGGTGTTGAACACTGATGTCATGCTGTCAGTGGTGATGGTGATGACTTCGCTGCCAAAGCATACATTGTCCACCACTCTGTCACTTGTGTAGCGGCCACTCACTAGATCACGCGCCACAAGCCCTCATCACCCAACAATCCCTGCCCCACTTGTAGCTTTAACCGACATGTACCCTACAATTTCCGATAAGGTCTGCCGATGTTAATGATATCCAGTGTTCATTTGATCCAGTCGGGTAACTTGGACAGACAATTCTGAAAGCTGTGGGCATAGCTTCTGCTCTCTTCCATTCAACATCGTAGCTGTCTTCGTCATCCGCATGACTGTGCATCTCCAGTAGCTTTCTAGCCATATCAGCTGCATACTCCTGAGCTACTGAAACATCTCGTAGTTGATGATTTGAATTCCTCTGCTTTGACACGCGTAATACCGGCGGAAATCGAAGTACCTACAGTGCCCGCACGATGTTATGATTGGAGTCAAGTGCGTACCCCGGGAGGAACCCCACTCGTCGATTGAGGCTCTCCATCTGTAACTGATATCCACATGGCCCAGCCGGATCATGACTGTCTTGGCCCCAAGTGACTCGACGTGAGCGTTTGTGCTGCATGGTCGTACTGGTCAGGAACAGATGATGATCAGCGCACAACTGAAGCAGTCACTCTCCATTTTCCGTTCACTGACTCCAAATCTACTGGCTAATTGTGCTTCCGGACCTAGTCGTGAATGGCTTAGTAGCCATTCTGATCACCCACCAGGATTACTGTATTCGTCCTTTGCTGCCAGGAGCCGCCACAGATCTGGACAAATCCCGTCGTCAATATCATAACTGCAGTTTGTCGGGGCATATGCTGGTACGACAAATAAACACCACTTGCGTCCATAGTTGGGTGGTTGCGGTCAACTGGCTCTGTGTAACCCGGTGAACGTTGCAACGCCGAAAGACTGAGAGGTACCTACGCCTACTTGTTAAGGACTCATCGTTAGAAGTCAGTCATTGATTTACTAGTTTCGGCAGATGATAATGGTTCCAAATGATCCAAATTGTACTTTCCTGCGGAACACTCTGTGATCCGTAAAGTTGACTTGTCTTCACTTGCTATCTCAGTTTTTTTTTCTCACAGCTTCGTTTTGTTTTGTTCCTATTGTTGCAGTATCATGACTTTTCGCGCGGAAGAGAAGGCGCGTCTAGATCAGTCAAATGGTCATTTGAGCCTGGGTGACGTGACTTCGGTAAACCTCACAATGTTAGGTGGTGGGTTGCAACACAATGTTCTACCGACTGAACTCTCGGCCTCATTTGATGTCCGCCTTCCTCCGTGCATGAGCTTCAACACCTGGAAGGCAAAGTTAGACAAGTGGGCGGAGGAGGTTGGTGGTGGAGTGGAGGTAAGTACTATACACTTAAACCACTGATCGTTGCGCCCACACATTGTTCACGTGATCCGTTAGTTTGGTGGAAGCTCGAGCCGCAGTCCGTATAAAGATATACTCTACAGACGGATGTTGCTTGCCGCTGGCTTGTTTATATCGGATAACAGACAACTCAGCAAACAAACCGGTACATCCTTTCACCTCGCTTCTCGGTAGGTCATCTTCTCAAAGTGGTCTTACTTGAATACTTCTATTGTGAACCTCTTACTGAGGTAGTGGGCGCTAGATGTTTACCGAGGTAACTTTCTCCAGGTCTGCACCCACAAGAAAACGCGTGTTGGCGCTCAGAGCCGTGAACCCATTAGTCTCATTCACTCAAGAGTAGTGTAGCCGACTCGCTAGATTTGACATTTAGGTTAATGCCACCGCACAGGACGAATGTACTGAGAGCCAATCAATACTTTTTCTGGTATTTTCAATCTTGGCTTTAAAGGCGACCAACCCAGCTGCACCCGGAGATGTATAGTCTCAAGGCATGCTAAGGGTGATTTGCGGGTACTCAGTACTAAGAGCGTCAGCACATCATAAGGACAGCTATTTTTTCATTTCACTTAGCAGGTTTCATGGTCCAAGTGAATTAATGACGAATGGCTGATGAGTACCATTGACTTCTTACGAAAGGACTGAACAGCTCTATGTATGATAAGCATTCCGGTGTGTTGTGCCGTGTGGAGTGATACCTCTGTCTATGTATTTTGTGATTCCACAGTTTGAATTCATCAACGTTGGATTCGATTCTACAGGCTTATCAGCGGAACCAGACGAAAAGACAGATCCTTACTGGTCCACCCTCTTTAGAATTTGCAAACGATTCGGAGTTGGACTAGTGAAGCGCGTATTCCCCGGTGGAACTGACGCGAGGTTCGTCCGAAACTTCCACACGTTACCAAATTCCCCCAAAGACACAAAGCCGATTCCAGCGATCGGGTTTTCTCCAATGCGACGCACGCCTGTTTTGTTACACGATCACGATGAATACCTCTCCAGGGATGAATTCCTTTTGGGATGTCGAGTGTATACTGAGTTGTTACTCGAGCTTTCAGAATTGCCGTAGATTTATCCGGAAACACACTTCTACCGGTGCAGCACTGATTACACTAGTCATGGGTTGTTTGTGATTTCTAGTCGAATTTATGTGCTTTTTTGTTTTGATAATAAATGAACATTTGGAATCGTGGATTGCGGTCTTATTGCATGTTGGTCTCATTCCCTCCTTTTCAGGACAACACTGGGGGATTCCAGAACAGTTCTTCGGCGTAATTGCGTCAATACGAGGGGCTGATCCGTATCCTAGTGTTCTCCACACCATTCGTGAGAGTTGGGTAGGATCTTCCATTCAGTCTGAGGAAACTGATGAATATGGAATTGGTAGTTTGAGGGGATTTCACGTTAAACTAAATATTCGAACCACGAAGCCTGAAGATAACGGAACTTGACCTGCCGATCGACTTAACATGAGAGGATCTATGGGTCAGTCGCATTTATCCAGTATAATTCGATACACCACAGAGGTACACGAAGAGTCGCCCCATGATAAATCCGTCTTTTTGGTAACTAAAGAAGCCAACTAGTGGATTAATATCTCAAAATTAAAAAAATGACGGGTCACTTTATGAAGAGATAGTAATGAGGACTCAGTGTTGAGTAACAACAAGGGCGTTGCGGTTTAAAAAAATATATTCTCCTTCAAATGAAGCTGGATTTAACATCAGGTAGTCACAGCATCCCTTGCAGATTTCTTAACCTTCTTGCGCTTCTTCTTTTTCCGTGAACGCCGTTCCGCATCTTCCTGTGGTTTCATAACCTTGAGCACTGTGGGCTGAAATTCGACCGTGTGATTGCCCTGAGTTGCCAACTCGCTTAGAAAGGCTGTGTGATTGTCTTCAACTGCTGAATAAACAAGAGGCAAGCTAAGAGTGGAGTAGGAAGACAAATAGGACCGAAGTTCTGGTAGTGAGAGCACTTGTTCAGTGGGTAGCTCATAACTGTCTGCATCAAAAACATACAATTTTGTTGCGTCAATCGGGTACTGATCCCAAGGTTCCCCGTTCTCATCAATAACCTGAAAGAAGTAAGAAAATGTGCAGCCGTACAAAATGGCCGGGGTCTACCGTAAACATGAGGACGGGTAAAAAAAAGTTAACCAGCAAAATGACCTTAGATAAAAAACTTCCATATGTTAAGCCTCGTCTCAGTAATCGCCTAAGCAAACTCCCGGTAACTCAGGCAAAGGAAAAATTGGCCTGATAAGCATCTACAACAATACTTCTAAACATCTTTGTACTGCCAACGCTTCCTATACAGTCGTTAGGTTGTGCACGAGACTTTGATTATTAAGCCATTCTTCTTTCCATAGTTTCAAGGTTTCCGCAGAGATGCGACTGACGAGTTTATAGCCATGGCGTGTAGTTTACTCAAGTGATCGAAAGGATTCATTTTCGAAGGTCTGTCACTCCGACAACAAATGCCTTTCCTAACTATTTCTAAACCCTCCAAGTGTGACAGCCTGATTACAGTTTGGTCTACGATCAGACCAGAAAACGAAGACCATTAGAGAATAACCGGGTAGGAAGTAGCTATAACGCAGAGTCCATTCATCTTTCATTTTCTCACAAGCGTTTCAGAATCCTGATCCGGGCACATCTGCGTTTTCCTCGAGCTGTTGTATTCGTCAAATCCTGGACTGTTTTGAAAAGAAAGTTATTTCCTCGATTCAAGGTGAACATCAATGAGTCAAACCCCATCTAATCGATTTCGTCCTAATCACATTGGACCCGCACCAGCTGCTTCGGCACTTACTCCATCTCGGACCAGCTAACTTTTGGACTTGGTTATCCACCAGTTTATGTCTTTGGGGTTCGCAAAACCTGAAACAATTCCCCAGGCCTTCAGTTTTCTTGAATGAGTTTACTCTTCGTCCATGAAGTGGCAGTTTTGCAAACGTCACCAGTACTTTCGCTCGCTCAGAGGGCGAAGTGTACCTCCACACATCGCTAATCTGGTCAGTATATTAACGAGCTCCCTCTGTCGCACGATGGTATAATTGAGGATGAGTCCATATTGCAAGAAACAGTTGCCAACGTTGAATATCGGGTTTGTATTCAAAGTTTCAATGCAAACATCACCAATTGTCTTGTAATGTTGCTGTTCCGAATGGACCAGTATATTCTTCCAGGCTAGACGTTTCCAACCCGATTATCATGATAAATTGAGGGTGTAGACTTGAACGGGGCCGACAGTTGGTCCTAGTTTGTTTTAATTCTGCCATTGTGCGGAATATGAGATGATAAATGCACCAAACCTTTCCGTAATCGGATGCCCCTTACCATCGACTTGGTAGAGTTTGACTCGTCCGCTGTTTTCTGATTCGTGTGATCCACAACAATGAATCCAGCATCATGTTCACATCGACTTTCTTACGTTGTACTACTGCAGTTGATCCCTCAAGCAGATTTCCCTCATCCTCCCCTCAAGTCTCAGGTTCCAAGGCGGTTCCAGCGACTTTAACGTTCTTTTCACATAGCCTGCGGACCGCGAATTTCGGCCCATTTCCAACGCAAGTCGTTGGCTATGACGATGGCGCTGCTAAAAACTCGGTTATTTAAGCGACCTAACTGCTGAACAATCCAATCATACGTGTATGATATGCAGATTTCATGGTAATGTTTCCCATATTTGGTGTGCATCCAGGATTGATCGTGAACCGTTCAGCTGTAGCACACTTTCGGCACCTAACTTCCATGCCACCTAAAGGAAACACGAGGGCTGGAATAATGCCAAGTTGCCCGGGCCTGGACAGGGGAAGTCGAGAAGCAGAGGTCGGGTTCGAACCACGGATTCTTGGGTCAGCAAATTCGCGCTCTAACCACTGGACCACGTCGCGGGTGCATCGTAGCTACCGCCACCAACGTGTAGCTGCCCAGTTTCCAGAACCACCTGATCATGTCATCGCCTCCAGTGCGTGGCTACATCTCACATGCTATCCCATTTTTCGGTGACCGAAACTGTGGCAGTTAAAACCGACGTATCCTCGGTACATAGCTGATAAACTGATTGACTGACCGTTCGTCAGTCTGTCTCCGATCTAAACCTACTCAACGGATCCAACACCATTTCATAATCCTATTAGTCCGCTTACCCCGACACGATACCCAGCAGTTTACTCGAATCATCACGTGTCCGATTTGTTGCGAAGTAAGTACCTTGGAAATTTGGCTCTGATTTAGGCACGCGAATATTTCATACCGAACTGAATTATCCGCTATACGTCCCAAATTCACTCTACGCAAAAATACCGCGACCATAAATACGGTATAGTATATGGTGCGCTGCTCTTCCTACTCACTTATCTCCACTTGATTAGGGCCAATAAGCATATACCTAATCGGCTCTCCTTCCATGATTGATAGTCTACAGGGACATGACGTCTGTCTCATTTCGCCGTTACTGACTTGGCATCAGGCCACCTTTCGCCACAACCCACCTTGAGTTCTGCTTTATTCGTATCACTGCCGTATTCTGCTAGAGGGCCTCTGATCACTGGTTATCCCTTCCCCTGTAAATCACGTGTAAAGGTTGATGACGTTGACTGACACACCGGTATGGTATTGAACGGTGTTATTACCTCGGAAAGTAGTCATCATCATCTTTGTCAGCTGTAATAACCGCGTACTCGTCGTACAGTGGTTGTAGCTGCCGCAGTTTCGTTCACCGATGTTTTGGGGAGGGGATAGGTACAGTGGGCCGTCAAGTGGGGCGGGGGGGTTGGAAAAGGAGCTATGCAGTGAAGGCAATAGCTTGGATGCACCAGCGCCATTGAGGGCGCGACTGGGCCATATCTGACAATGTCTCTAGCCATTGATGTGGACCGTCTCGGGGTCCCCATCCAGGAAGACGGCAGTGA